GGTCAGCGGTATCTAACTCGTGTCCAGGCCCTAGTGGCCAGTAGAGAACTCTTCACTTTGTGTAGAAGCTAGTGAAGCGACAGCTACAAAATGAAGGTGTTTTTGACATCTCTTGTGTTGATGCTCGCTGTAATTGGTAAGTCAAGCTAAAAAAATACAGGTTTTAAGTATCCGTTAGTTTATATTTTTGCGAGTACAAACGAAAAAAACTTTTGGATCAGATGAACCAGAGTTTGTATTTTGACTGCGTTGTCCGTTATAGATCGAGGAGTCACGCAAAACCCCAAAAAATATATGTTGCTTTGAACTGAATATCATACTATTAGAAATGCGTAATCTTATGATGGCGTCATTGACCTCTACTCCCAGACTCTCTTGCACCCTTTCTTTCGTTCAGTTAATTAGCTCCAATTGTCTTACTATTCTCACGAGAGAATACAAATTTCAATGAGAAAGAAAATTCGCCAAGCATTATGGTAGTGGGAGTCAAATGACGCCATCATGTAAGCGTCCTATTTCGAGAACAAAACAAAAGAATTTCAATCTCCTATAAATTGGAAACCCATTGTTATGTCCTCCAAATTGAGCTGCATTCCGACGTGCTGTAAGGTGTCTATGGACCTCTTTACTTTGGGCGTAACGTTTTCCTATTTCATACCAAGTGTCATTATCTTAAGAATAAGTTTCTTTGTTTGAGTTGTATCCATATTGATGTGTCTTCTCATGTGCAACCGTTAAATAAAGAATAGATACTCAAGAGAATGACACGTGGTCTGTAATGGGAAAACATTACGTCCAAGGTAAAGAAGCATATAGCGTATCAGCACCACACATCATGATAAACCAATGAAGTGTTCCAAGTTAGTGGCTTGCTTTATTTCATTTATTTTTACATACCCACATACATGAACCTTTAGGTTTTTCTCTTTTTTCACGATAGCTTATTATGTCTCGTTTAATAATGCAGTTCAGTCGAATACGTTTTTAGTATCCATATCAAACGTTGAGTATTTCCCAGTGTCTGTTGTCTGCGAGGCAGACCCACGAGTTAGCATCGTCCCCGTATCCTTCCTCGATTTTCCAAAGTTTTTCTTTTTTTTTTACTTGTCTTTTTTTTTTTTTTCTTTTCTTTTCTTCTTCAAAAATGTTCATGTCGAATTTGTCATAAAACGACGGCCTTTTTCTTGCCGCTTTTCCGCACAATCCAAATATGGAACTGATCATACCATATATGGCGTGAGCTTTCTCTACTCCAACTTCGACACTAACACATAGAGTAAATCATCTTGTGGACTTTAACAAGACTAATTCTCATTAGGCCCTTTTGTAACTGTGTGCCAGCATGGCAGCCATGTTTTTGTCTTTTGATCCTCAAGGGAATGAAAAACTACGAAAACTACCAATTGAAAATAGATAACTCATTGATCTGTTTTTGTATCTGATAACGTTTTATGGCAGAATTGTCAGTTAATTAGTTGTTGCACTTTTTATTTACTACACACACGACAGAAAAATCGCAATAAACAGTCTTTAATTCCAGGGGAAATGCTTTGTTAACCAAGGATTACGGCGAGATTTAACAGGTAGTCATCAAGGATCATTCTGTTCCGCCATCTTGGAAAATAAATTGAGCTTGACAGAATAAAGAAACTGTTGTTTGCAAGCTTGGTCGCAGTCTTTTTAACATCGAATAGTTGTAAAACATCGGGCCGAATTGGCATTACAGTGTATTCTGGGCCTAGTTTAGGGAACCTGTTTCCAAGATGCCGTTTATTTTGTTATCTAGAACAGCCCCAAAATGCACTGCGATGCCAATGCAACCCAGTTTTTTCCCTCGACCTCGGAATGGTTAATGGTACCTCTGGAAAGGATTTTTTTTTTGCATAGGAGGATGGGCGGGCAAGAGGAAAAGGGGGGAAGAGACGAGCAGGATAGCTAGCGCTAGTAGCCTCATTTCGCCTTAGCGCTCTTAGTCACTCAGTAAAATTCATTCTGTCTAACTAGCTGAGCGGTGGGCGCGGCGCGCAAAGCATGAGTAGTGGACAAAATGACCAGCCCAAGTACATGGCGGTAAAGTGATTTTTTTTTAATCCTTTCTTTCCACATATCTGCTGCTTGTAGGCACGTAGATTATATTTTAGTCAAAAGAAAACAGAAAGATACGCAAAAGATGCCTTTACAGTAGCCTGGGAATGAGGGCCCCACGGCAAAACAGCTAAACGCGCTGTGATTGGCTGAAACAAAATTCACCTTTCAGCTGGAAAGAAAGATCCCTAGATTATTTATACTTCACCAAATCTTTTTAAAATTCATAAAACACTATCGTTTTCTTTGGTTACCGGACTCTACTCAGCAAGGAGAGAACTCGAAACTGGAGTAGTATTGGCAAATGTTCTCATTTTCATGTTATCGATTTCGTGATTAACTAGCGCATTTTTTGATTAAAGTAAGCACTTATTTGGCTTTTATGTTAAATCATTGTGACGTCAAAGCCCTTCAGTTATATTAAAAACCATTCCTACAATGACGACAAAGCAATAACTATACTCAAAAACTCTACCTCCGAAAACGAAAGTCCAAAAGCGAGCTGAGCGTACATCATTAAGCTTTTTAATCAAATAGCAAGACATTAAAATACGGCCTGGAATTCCCACCCCCCCCCCCCCTTACTTTTTGCGTGATCTGCAAATGCAACCGGCTATAAAAGGGTCAGCCCGCCCGTAGTGTGGAAACTTCGTATTACATCGTTACTGAGTCAGGGTTGCTTTGAACAGCGAAAGAAAAATGCATCGAAATATTCTTCTTCTTTGCATCGTGGGCTTAGGTAAGTCTAGTTTGGAGAAATTCTGCCTATATTGTTCATATTTATTATGAAATCTTGAAAGCTGAATATCTTTCGATGATGTTCTTTCAAATTCATCAACATCTCTTACTTTCAAGTAAGATATAAAAATACAAGATAATATACTCGTTGTTATTGCATGCGGTCTGAAGTATCTGTGGTTTCAAAATCCTCATATACCACTCATAATGAAATGTACCCGTCAAATTGAACACGCGGTCTTCGAGCAACAGACCTGTTTTCTTCAACTTTTCACGAGCAACGGACTTTCCTGTCACTGCAAACTTTTTGGTTGCGAATGATGAGCTAGTATTAGAAATGTAAAACATGTAAAATTGATTTCTGATGTTTTCATGCATCGACAAAACTAGTCATGTCAACTTGGCGAAACTAAATTTGCACTAACAGAACATTAAAATGTTTCGAATAAAAAATAGATACTAATTCCGATTCTATTTTCAAATTTCAATGTCCTTATTATTTGGTTTATCATAGGTTGTTATTTCGAGCAAAATTAGAAGCGAAAGAAGTATAATATTCAGCATAAATAATCGCTAGTCTGTGACAGCTTCAACCCTTCAGTCTGAAATCATTTTCCCCCCCAGGTCTTTCTTTACAGCGTTCGCTTAGATCGCTCATTCACTGTGATGATCAACACATCTATCATTTTTTCACCACAGTTCTATCCATTCAATATTCAAACATAATATTAACCAAACAATATACTCCGAAATTCTTTATGATTCATATTTTTAAAACTATAAAGAAAATAAAAGCGAATTTCATGAAATGTTTGCTTTCCTAAGTCAATTCATTTTCACTTTTGAATTTATAATTCTTCAGAAAGGTGTGGTTTTCCTCTTGTACAGTGTAAATAATTTAATTTATATCGAGGAAAATCAACACTTTTGAACCCTTTATAATCTTTGTATTCGTTGAACATTGAGTATTTCGAAAGCGAGGAAAACGCTAGGCCTTCATTAAAAATATCTGGAAGTTAATCTTTCTTATTAATCCTTGGCTAATCGAACTTGACAGATTTTGAAAATGAGAGGCTTAAGTTAAGCGATGATTAATGTATTTGGAATAATTATGTTTGCCGCAAACATAATAACATTCCATAGACATTAATCATCGCTTGAACCATAGTTAATGGAGCGGAATGGATTGGAAACTCCAAAGCACGTATGGATAAAAATACTCATTTCCTTACTATTTTCATGTATGAACATTTTGAAAGTGAAAACTTTCATTAATTCGGACCAAAAAGCTTGCGGAAAAATATTTCCGCGCAAATACAGTTAAGTTACTAGATGATAATTAGTTAAGAAAGCATTAAAAAGGGCAATTATTATTCATCATGTAGATTAATGAACAAGTAATAACTATTTTAGAACGATTTCTATATTCCCAAATACTGTGAACAAATTGTGGCAACTTTTCCTTCACTGTGCACGGTCAAGGTCATATAACAATGGATAAAGTCGAACTATAGAACTAAGATACGTTTCTTTTTTGTTACAAAGAGGACTTAAGTTCGATAATAACCAATATTTTTATTAATTCTGAGGATTTTAATTAATATTCCTATAGTTTTAATCAGTTGTCTTTATTCGTTGAGCTCGGGGCTTGTTATACCTGCTGTACTTACTAGTACTCTGTTACAAATTTGAATTTCAAATTCTTAAAACTTTTCTTAAAGAAAACAGTTGCAAAATTAGATGAAAATAATTCATAGAGGATATTACATGGGCGCGCGGAGATACGAAATTTATCTTCGTGTGTTGAAAAGATCTCTCACGAGTGAGCGCAGCGAACGAGTGAGAGATTTTCAACACGAGAAGATAAATTTCGTATCTCCAAGCGCCCATGTAATATTCTGTTTATTATAGAATTATCAATGAAGTATGTTTTGGCTTTTTCAGGCAATTCTTTCCGTGTATTTTTGAATAGCCATCGCAATGGTGTTATTTTCACACGTGAAAATAACATGTTATTTTCACGTGTGAAGATATCAATTTTTCGAAATAGAGAAAAATAGATATTTCATTTGTAATTAGTATAGGAAATCGCACGATCTCGAGTACAATTAGGAAATTAATAGACACGAGTAATGTTTTGAAAGTTCTTGTAATTGCACGAGCCTTTAGGTGAGTGCAATTAAAGAACTTTCAAAACATTACTCGTGTCTATTAATTCCAAATTGTACGAGAAGGTCGTGCGATTTTTAATTTATAGTTCACTCAACAAAATTTCAGTAAAAAATGCGAAGCGACGCCGTTCATCTTTGTCTATTTGGCGGCCGATTTTCAGTCCATCGCGCAACTGAAATGCATAAAAAAGATTAGTTCTTACGGCTTTAAAATTTTATTTATATGTTTTTTAAGTACAAAATGATAGAAAATAATTGTTTTGACATTGTTTTGGCCGCGTTGCCATAGCGACTTAATTCGGTACTCCTACGGAGTACAATTAACGCTATAATTGTACTCCTCTCGACCAATCAGAGTCGAGTAATTTTGTTGAGTGTACTATAATATAATAAATGGCTTTAATAAACTCGGAGTTTCTTATGAATTTAGTACAAATGGAACGATGACAAAGCCTGATATACAAAATGATGCCTCAGTTTTAATTTCTTCCACTAACGTAGAAATAACACCTGTCTTGCTGTTGAAAAATAGAAAAATAGCAAAATTGGAACTTCAGACTATCATCAAGCACAGCTGCTTCCCACCCGCCTCACCCGCTACGGGGCATACGGGGGTAAACGTTTTTTCCCCGTAGGGGGGAGGGTAGGGAAGCGGCTGTACACAGGCTAAAGTTTGCTCAAGTTCTCAGTTGTAATGTTACGCGGCACGATCGCGACACGATACGGCTCTTCGATTACCCATGTTACACGATTGAGTCGACTTTTCGCGCAACGTTCGAGAAATCAACTGGTGCTAATTCATGTTACACGGGACCATTTTTAGCGCAACAAAGTGATAACATCTTCCTCAGTCCGCGCGTCGTTTCGCCTCTCCGTGAGAGTACTAAAATGCATTCTGGGTAAGCGTTGCGCGAAACATTTTTTTTTGGCTTATAAGTTTGAGTACAAGAAAAATGAGTTTTAATTTTGAATGCTAAAACATAACACAAATGTATTCACCTTTAGGGCTCTTTGCCGAAGCCAAAAAACTCTCTACCCCAAGAGTGACATGCAATGGAGGTGTCTGTATCAAAAATCATGGACGATCTGGAAAGTTTAGTGTCAGTCGTGGCAATGAATCCGAGGATGCCATCAATACAATCACTATAGAGTTTGACTCTATCAAAGAAGTCGACGCCGATGGCAACGAAGTTGGCACGACTGGACCTAAACTAGGCAAACATGCGTTTAACTCTTTTGCTCCCTTGGACTTCGACTTCACCGATGTTGTGGATACCAATTACAAGGTATTTAAACAAAGAGAGCTTTCCACAACTTACAACCGAGATAACATTTTATTTACTGTTGAGTGGGTGTCGTACGAGTAGGAAGCATGCGGATTTTGTGCGGCACTTGTGACGTAAACGCTTTCAGGGCTATACCAATATACCATGCACTAAAATCTAATAGAGATATACATATAAACTTATTTTCTTAGGGAATCAGTGCCAAGGCTTTTAACTTCTCAGCTGAAATCCCAGGTCCAAATGCGACCCTGAACGTACCCATATTTTTCTTCTCCGATAACGGGACAGTCAACCTCTGCGACGATGAAGAAATAACCATTAGGAGAGGAATAATAAAGTACAATATCGAGGTAGGACTTACTTTGAGATATTAAAATATCACTAGCGCCGGCCCGGCCCCGTGTGCAATGTTGAAAGATTTTAGTATGACTGTTAAAAACTTACTTTAAGTACGCGGCTTCAAACCTTCAAATATATTTATCGATACCCTGAAACAACCTCTGGGCTGATCTAAGTCAGGGCACGGCTAACTCACAGATCGAACCCTGAAACAACCTCTGGGCTGATCAAAGTCAGGGCATGGCAAAAAAACTCACAGACCGAACCCTCAAACAACTTCTGGGCTGATCAAGTTAGGGYACGGTTAACTCACAGATCGAACCCTGAACCAACCTTTGGGCTGATCTAAGTCAGGGAACAGCTAACTCACAGATCAAACCCTGAAACAACCACTGGGCTGATCAGGACACGGCTAACTCACAAATCAAACCCCGAAACAACGGACATCTGTACTGATCTAACAGGGCACGGCTAACTCTCACAGATCGAAACTTCAAACGACTTCAGAGCTGATCAAAGTCAGGGCAACAAAAGTCGAGCTCTACTCACATATGATGCCTAGATAGTCCGGGAATCAAACCCGAGATCCTAGAGATGAAAGGTGAGTGCACTACCACTACGTACTTTCCATACACAGTGCCAGTGTGTTCTGTTTGGTTTAACAGTAGTTTTGCGCACTGTCACAGGGTCAGTGGATGTCCCTGATTGTCTTTTGCGCCATGGGTTTTACCCACTAACAGACGCGCGTGCCTACTGTGATTTAAGCACGCTAAGAAGTGTAGAGCACGGGACAGCAAGCTATACGAACCTTCATACAATGTTTTCAAATATGCCCATCTCGTTGTAGTTGTTCAACTGGGATTTCTGCAAAGCGGGATCTGGATGTAAAAAAGGAAAGAAAGAAGAAATCGGGAAATATGTGGATTTTGTGATCACTGTCAAGAACAAAGGAAAGGGTAAAAAAGGAACCAAGAGCAAGAAGCAGGCGGGAAAGAGGCGCAAGGCACAGAAATTCTATTTTGGAAACTCGACCAGCATTTCATTTCCAAGCGCTGTAAGTATAAATCAGACTGTGACGTTCTTGAAGATTGTTTAATTTTGAGAATTGTTTTTGATGACGAAAAGGAAGGGAGGGGAGGGTGAGGAATAAACTAAAGAAATGAAAAGAGGCGTCGAAAAGGACTAAAATTAAGAGAAATACTGTGCTCGTAGGAGAGAAATAAACCCGAATAATTAGTTCAATATGGCGACCAATTTGAATAACTATTGTTCTGCACCGACTAGCGACTGACTAGCCACCTGTTCATTTAAGTAAAAAGGCCTTTTCACGTGTATGAGAAGCTAGTCAGTCGCTAGTCCGTCCAGGTTAATAGTCTTTCAAATTGGTCGCCATGCCGCGGATTCGGCGTATAGTTACTCTGTCTTTACATTGACGAAAAGAAAATCCGCTCCCCAGACAATTTTTCCAACTCACAATCGATCACTATTTTCTTTTGTTAAACTGCAGCTTATGTCTAACAGCAGTTGCACCCAAATGCCAGAAGATTACCCAAAACTAGAAACGAAAACAAGCAAGTATTCTATCACCTTCCGTTTTCCTATGTTTAACGACAAAGCCGTCTACGATCCAGCCATTGATGTCATGCAGGGCTCAGCCTCCGAGCCCCCCGAGCCCTCCGAGCCGACGACTTCCACAACAGGACCAACTACAGGCTGCTCTAAACCTTTGCCATCTTTTGCCGCGGTGCTGTTGTTGGGAGCTTTGTTCCGTCTTTTTTTCTAAGTATATAGTTATCCTCAATGGTGCTTCGAGATTAAGCTTTTAAAGCAATTGTGTTAAGTAGTTCACCCTTGTAATTCTTTACGCGGAAAGAACAGTTTTGTTTTAGTTTAAATTCCAATAGATCCCTCGAGCTCGCTTTGCGTACTGCTATTCATTTGTCAAATTGATAGTATTCTATCATCATCTTTTTTTTCAAGTTTCTGCATAGTGTAAAGTACTGTGGGTAACTTGAGCTTCGAGTAAAACGCATTAAGAGTAGCGTGATTATTTATAATTTGTGTTTTAAGTGTAAGACTAAGTTTGTTTTAATATTCATTATATATCATAAGCTAAGTATAAGTAATTCCTTGCTTAATATCTTCCCTCCTTCCCTTTTTATCTTTCTCCCCATCCCTCTCCTATTACTTACCCCCTATCCTGATACGTCTTGACAATGCCTTACAACCATCCGCTTGCTGAGGCTTCTCCGGGTATCCCATTCAGTCATAAGTACCCAACCTCAACCTCATTGAAGTTATTTAAAAGTACACAGCTAAAGATATAATGTAAATGAATGGTTAATAAATCGTTTGTATAACTAAAAAATAATCGAGAATTTCCTATAGTGATGTAATAGTAGTATCACTTTTTAGCTGTGTGAATGTATTTAGATTAAATCGGTTTTACTTAGGGTGCGTTCATAATGTATGGCAGAGGGGGAAGGGGGGGTTAGGTGAAAATTTGAAATGTCCAGGATAATTCTTAACACCGCCCTTAAAGTCATGCAAAAAAATACGATCTAAGCAAGGCTTGAAACTTCTTCCAAAAATTGTGCATCCCCCCCCCCCCCNCCCCCCACTTTTCTGATAAAAAATTGCCTATCCCCTCCTTTTTCCTACCAAAATTTTCCCGATCCCCACTCAATTTCACCTGCCCCCCTCTCGCATACATTATGAATGCAGCCTTACATAACCTGTTACTATAGACTATAACAGTAAGGGTTATTAGTAGATGTTATTACACATTAAGCTAATTATGTTTCCCTGGRTTAAGTAAAACCACTTAAGTCTACAGCAAACTCCTAAACGTATAACGCTTACGTGCTTGATATTCATCACTAAAGCAATTATATGGTGAYGTCAGCTACGACGTCATTTAGTCTAACATGCGGAGTCCTAGTGTTCTCCTAAAAATGGAAGAGGACGTGGGAAAAATTGAAAAATTATTACACGATTTTTTTCTAAGGGCCTGTCAAACTTTTGTTAAACTATGTTGGACATTATTTTTGTTGTGTTGCATTGAGTTTTTGGACGTTTCTTTCTTCCTGCCCCACAGGTTGTTAGCCAAGTTTAAGTGGTCTCTTGAGTTTGACTGTTTGTTGGTTTGTCTGTTGCAGTTGAATGGGTTCTATGACATCATAAATGCTTTTAGAACTCTGCTGCCCCCCTCACTGATTCATGCTAGTTGATTTTAAGTTTCAAAGTGTCGGCAAGTTATGGTTGACCGGTTTACAGCCTGTTGAGCAGTGAAGGGTTTTATTATGTTTGATGGATCATGTGGACCGTTATATTTAATTCGTCATGTCGCTATTTTGTACGTCATTAGATGTTTCTAGAAATGAAAAGGAATGCCATTAGGATACTCAGTTGTCTATACACATTGCAATATTAATATGATCATGATTGAGTGCATTTGATTTTTAACTTCATTTGACCCGTAACGAATTAAGTTGTATAATTAGTGGCTGAAAAGTCGGAGTAAAACCGAAATCAACGGAATTACTATGATCTAATACTATGCATTACGATTACAGTAATTTTTCACGGCCCAAGTAAAATCTTCAGTCTATAAATTACTAGTAAAATTTTAAGAGATTTTCTTATATAGACTTCCTTCCTTCCTTCCTTCCTTCCTTCCTTCCTTCCTTCCTTCCTTCCTTCTACAGCAGTTTGCTATTTAAAACGCCTCAACTAAAGGAAAGATCAAAAAGTTTTCTTTGATTCCGGCTCAGCTCAAGATTTTTTTGGGTCTCAGATTTCAGAACGACAAGCTTTTTTAAAACCAAAAATTGTGGCTTTGCATTTAGACTTATTGACAAACATATCTCCATTTCCAATATATCGCTTGTTATTTATCTTACCAAACAAACTGAAGCAAAATAATTTTAAAATATTGTATATAGAAATTTGAAAACTTTCTATTTCTATTTCTCGAAAAATTGGGATACCTGTGGAGAACTTCATATCGAGGCGATTTGAGCCTGCGATCCTTTGCACACGTGCTTCAAGGCTGATATCAACATTATAGACATTTATAAGAAAATATCTCATTTTTCTTCAATTTAAGGGCACCAAAAAACATTATTCTCACTAGCAGACATTAGTTTGACGTCTGCAAAGCCAACTACAGCACAGGCAATGTCCAAAGAAATTCCTAAAGAAGTGAAGACGTTTGTTCGAGCTACTCTGATATCAGCCTCCAGTGGAATCAAACAAACTAATTTCCCAAATGACTATGAGAAATACGCTGGGACGAAGCTCGAGTGGAGAAAAATGGGATTTAAGGGCCTGTATGAGTTCCTACTGGCCATTCCTGATGTGGCTCGACTCACGTATTCCGAAAAAGATCAAGAGAATCTTGTATTTGGCGTGACGAATAAGGAGGTTTATGCTTCGAGTCATGCTCAAAAGGCAGCCATGAAGGGAACGACGGGTCCTAAACACAAGCCTCCTTCTGAGTGGGGAAAACCAATGAATACGAACTCGAACCAGAAAGGAGGGAAAGATGCTAACAAAAGAAAGATTGATGTTGCTAAAGATTTGTCGACGTTGAAGGTTACAGTTGGTAATAAGCTTTTACAGCTCAAAGATGAAGGGCTTTGTCCAAATTTGCAAGGGTTGTATGGAATTCACATCAGCAATCTTCCTAAGCCATGTACTAAGGTAATTAGCATCGAAAATAAGAAAATAGCCATTTGTTTGGTATGTTGCTCCTTAAGTGGATTTAAGACAGCTGGTGTGAATTGCTAATGCTCTGATGCTGCTCGCTGTGTTGGTAGTGGTGGTAATGGTGGTTAAGTAGTAGAGAAGTTTTTGTATGACTGTGAAAAGCTCACTGCACAAACACAGTCATGACTCGGCAAGGGATATGGCAGACCAATCACATTGCTCAAGAACACGGCATAAACAYGCATTGCCATACTAATCAAATTGTGTGAGAAAAAAATTCAAATCAAAATTCTAGAAAATAATATGACAGTCCCAGTACGGCATGCTTATGGCACTGGGCTTTTCAATGCCATAGACTGAGGGGTCTATGCATGTATTTTTGTTGTTTTTCCATGGGCTTTGAGGGTTTTCGTACAGGTCCAATGGTTTTCCTCCATCCACAAAAACCAACTTCTAAATTCCAGTTCAATATGGTGTCAAGCACTTTGTTAAGCACCTCCAGCTGACCCCGCTTTGAGACTGGACAATCACTTCTTGCTAATCAACATAAAATACACTGTAAACTTGATAGATAATCACATGTGATCATGAGATAAGAGTTGCTTTGTTGTTTTGCAGGAAGAACTTGAACACGTTTTTCAGGGATACCCTTCACTCAAAGAATGTAAACTTGTTTCAACTTCACTTCAGAGGTGAGTTGTAACCCAACCTCACTGAGAAAAGAACCAGTTTATTGTTCTGCTTGGGTTAAGTTACGAGCAAACACGAGGGAAATAAAGAGGGGCTTATTGTGTGCTTTTATGCCATTTCATTCTCAGGTCAAAACTTTGTAGATTTGAGAGAAGGTAGAGCAATGGTGTGACATTATTACTTGGTTTTAATTGCACCCTTTCCAGGCTGTCTTGTGTGAAATGTTTATTAGCTGGGCCTTGTTGTATGAAGGGTGGACAGCACTATCTGACAGATAAATGTTATCCAGTGAATATATTTATTGGATTACATCATTGACTTATCCACAGGATAAGGATTTATCCAACAGATAGTGCTGTGCACCCTTCATACAACCCAGCCCTGCATTGCAATTTTCAGGTTCAATTCTGGCTGTCAGCACATGGTGGTCACTGTGTTTGACATTTGAACCAAATAATTAGATCCAAAGACTTTTAATTGATCTAAACCCATTGTTATAGCATATAAGTCATGACTGTAAGTTCCCAGCTTACCTGTCCTCTGCTTTGCTTATAAGGAATGCATGTGCCTTTGTCAAGTTCACCAGTGCTCAAGATGCCTTAATGGCATTACAACAAAAGAATGGATATCAGCTCAAAGGTTCCAAGCTAAAACTGAACAAAGCAAAGGAGGTGCAAACAATTTATTTTACTAATTTACTTAATACATGTGACAATGTTTTTTACTCTATGGAACTTTGTTTGGGGGAACCAGTTCATGGCTATCTTAACCTATTACCACTGTTTTCATTGTTTTGACCTGATCCAAACAAATATCAAGACAGGTTATTGGCAATACACAACTGTCAATCATAAATTATTCCATGTGCCAACACATGGTTCTCACGTACTTTAATGACCTATTTGATTGATAATACAGGAGCAGAGGAGCAACCTAAAAGTGTGGGTGGAGGGGGGGAGCTGATAGTTATAAGATTGGAAAATATAAGAGACTAGAATGGGAAAAGGGAAAAAGTGGAGGGCTCTAAGYGGATACCTTTTGAACCTTGCCTGATATCTGTTTTATCAAGATATTTTTAAACTGAAGTCTGCTGATTGGAGGTTTGTTTTAAAGTAAATATCGGGAGAAAATTTTGGGGCTGTGAAACTAATAATCATTGGTCGAATTAAGGAGCATGGGCAGTCTCTCACCAATGTGACCTGGGTTCAAGTCCTGCCAGGCTCTGTGTCGGGTCTTTCCTAAAATCCAATTTGATCAATGCAACGAGGGCCATCTTTAAATAACCAGTGGCTAACAAACTTGTGGCCCTCATTGTATATGTTGTACTCTTTTGAAGGGTAAAACTGAAGAAAAACAAAAGGATAACCAGTCAAAATCAGAAAACAAACCGACGGTCAGCCCAGGTACCCTGAATGGAAAACAATCTCAAAACGTGCAGTCAGGAACTGATAAAGGTATAAATGTTATAATTTTTACCCAAAAGCATACTTACTTAATTACTTAGGCTCTTGGTCCCCTACAGAGCATAGTCCATCGATGATCATTCTTCAGCACAACCAGGTTTTGAGCCCTTCGACCAATCTCTGTCCAACTAAAACCATTCTCCTACAGCTCCTTCTCTGCATCTCACCTCCAGCTGTTTTTAGACTACTCTCGCTTCCTCCTCCCTTTAGGATTCCAAGCCAAAGCCTGATGTGTAATGTTGCTCATACCCAAAAGTTTGGCTAACATGATTGTTTTAAATAATATACTAAAGAAAAAACRACAACATTATTTTGTAATTTAAAAGCTGGGGAAAAAATCAACAAATTTAATGGTTGGTCAAGCCTAGTGTTCACCCCACTTTTCAGTATTCCAGCACACAGTTTACTACCATTATTGCAGCTCTTTGACTGATGGTCGTCAAAATGGTAGTCGGCAAACAAGACAACAAAATTCGCAGGTCACACTTCAATGATGTTAGTAACAGACCCGTCCGCGAAAATCATAGTCTAACTATTACCCAGTAGCTGTTGATTACTCAATAAAACAGTTCAAATTTAGGAAAAAGTGGCTGAGACACAGTGAAGGCGGCTTGTGGATGTGGGAATTGGAAAGAAAAAAATTGCTACACTTTCTCAGTAGTTACCTTTGCCAAATCTATAAAGATACAGGGGCAGATCCAGAATTTTATTCAGGGAGGGGTGCTGCGCACAAAGTTAACCCAAGGAGGGGTGCACCCCTTAGAATCAAAGGGAAAAAATATTATTTTGTATTGGTTATCTTCGAAGTAGGGACACAAAGTCGAACCAGGGGGGGATGCGCCCCCCTGCACCCCTCTCCTGGATCCGCCCCTGTTATACTATAATCACACCCCAAAAACGCGATATTTTTTACTTAAAAATAAATGTTCATTTTCTGGAGTATGGCCTCGATATTTGCGTGAATCATTCGTATAGGGAAGAACACAAGTTCGAGTTACGTTGGAGTATAAAGCATAAATGATGGCCTTCAGCTCGATATTAGTAATTTGAACATTTTATAATGAGAAAGGTATACTTTTCAACGTTTTGCACGTAAGTCCTTTGTCAGAGGAAAAAAGAGAAAATAAAGCAATTTGTATAGCAAGGGGCCAAAATCGCATCGAGTGTTATTACTTTGCAGAATATCTAAAATAGAGAGAATAAGAGAAAAATATAAAATGCCCTTGGCGGGAATCGAACCCACGTCTTCGGTATTCTCTCTATTTCATTGCACACATCGAACGCATGATTCATTACTTCTAGAATATCTAAGACTCGAATTGCGAAAATGCTGCGATGTATTCTATTTTTTTCTTCCATTATGTCGTTCCCATTCATTTTCTCACGTCATTTTCATTCATGATTCGTTTTCTCGCGATCGAGACCGACCAAAGCAACGTGCCCATGCGCGGGAGTTATGGTCATGTGTCCATCTCTGGAATGTCTGCAYGTTCGTTGATCCTCGATTCAAACTCGCCATTATTTATCAAGGTTTTTTCTTGGTTTTATCTCGTTCTTAAAATGTATGACTGCTAAAAATGTATTGCTATTTACCTTAACATGCGATACAGTTGTTTTGTGATTTAATTGTGTTCCGTTTTGAGTTAAAATTTCGGATAGAAAACCCTGAAGTTCTTCGATTTTATTTGAAAGCCAGACACAGACAAGAGTACAAATTTCGTTCATTGTAATTGCTCAAAATGAAAAATAAGACTTGTATATTTTCCCCTGAAGAAAAATAGCTAATATTCTGTCTTAAAGGTTGATATTAATCTTATAGATCATTCCAGGACTGGATCTAGTTTGAGTTCAAACAGCAACTCCACAACAAGTCTTGAGCGATTGCCTTCTTCTTCATCTACCAATACTTTAAAACAGAATGGAACTTCCATCAAGCAGGATAGCTCACACAGTTTAGGTAAGCTAGCATGCAAACATTAAGCTGAAAGTAACTCTAGAATCCAATTTGATTTAGTTTAAGAGAAGCTACTTTGTGAAATACTGCTGAATCAGCATTTTTGGTTTAGGTGGCTACGATAGCAGGGAAAGTCAAGGCCAACAATCGAACACTAAGCAGCAGTCACAAAAACAACAACAGCTGCAGCAGCAGCAAAATCAACAACAACAACAGCAACAAGAACAACTAAAGCAACAGCATCAACATCTACAAAACACTGGTCATTTTCCTTCACACAGAAGTTCAACAACCCCTGCTTCAACATCAGTGACAAGCTATCCTCCAGTTCCTATTGATAAAAGTGTTCATTTGATTTTGAGCAAAGAAGAGATGGATCGAATGAACAGAGCTTGTGGGCATCAAATTGATTATAGACTAGACAAGTTACCTCTTGAATTTGATGTTCTGGTTACAGAAGTGATAGATACTTGTCATTTCTGGGCTGTCATTGATTTCAAGGTACATATTTTAAGAATTCACTGATTGTCCTAGCATACAGTGTACCAGGCGTTATGGTCACCAAGTTCAGACATTGTCTTTGCATTGTAAATTTGATTTATAGAAACTATTCTGCCTTATCAATTTGCTTCATAAATTATCTTAAGCAAGGGGTAAACACTGTTTATGAAATAAAATATACTGTGCATGTCTCTGTAACATGATATGAACACAATGGGAGCTGTTGAGCATGAAAGAAGCAAGCCTAAGGTGCTGAAAATTTCTTTTTCTTTTTCTAAGACTGGAAACTGGAGCAGGCTTGAAGATATAGAGAAAAAAATACAACCCTTAAATACTAGACCAGATGTGCCTCAAAGATATACCGTTGGAGCAGGGAGATTTACAGAGAATAATGCTTGGTATAGGTATGTACTTAAGTATTTGTAGCCAATACACCTTAACCATGTCATTCCCTTGAGTATTATTTTATTGTTCACCACATTTTCACCAGTAATAGAGCAGATGCATTAATCTAATCGAAGCAGAAGGGGATGTTACACCCATTACACCATCCACTATCATCTTCATCATCATAAGCATTAGCAACAGCACTACTGTGCTTACCACTACCGTCATCGTCAACAGCAGCAGCATCAGCTTCATTACCATCCACTACCAACAGCATGATAATCCTCCTTCTCATCAACTGCATCATGTTCATCATTATCATTAGCAGCAGCAATAGCACTACCACCATCACTATCCATCACCATCCATCACCATCCATCATGATTATAATCTTCGGCCTTGTTGCATCATTATCATCAGTTTGACTGAAGAAACAGCTGGAATAAACCAAATATAGTCAAGAAAATCTAATTAGAGAAACATATTGTATTATACAAACAAGGTGATCTGTTTCCAGGTGTTTTGTGCTTGATGTATCCTATGATGGAAAACATATCAAGGTACTGTACACTGACTATGGGAACGCTGAATGGATACCTGTGGAGCGCTTTACTACCCTGGACCAGCAACTGTGGTCTCTACCTCCACAAGCCAACCCCTTTCATCTTGCAGGTAAAACAGTAAACGAGTGCTGCATTCCTGTCATGTTTCTTATCCTGTCTGTTATCTTGCTCAATCGTTTTTTTTTACGGGGGGTGGGGGCGAGGGGGGGTGCAACCCCCTCACTACATCACTCCCAAAAAATTAAATAAGTCTTGTTATTGCAGGACTGGAACTATCAAATCAAGATGTCAAGAATGTTGAGGAAGGAGCAGCACACTTAAAACGATTGATTTGCAACAAGACGTTTATTGCAAGAAAAAAACCCACGGTCAACCAACAACAGGTAATGAAATTCAACAGGTAATACAATAGCATGAAGTGATGTCACTCGCTGAAAAGACATCACTTATCATTGAAATAATAACAATTGGCAATAGAGAGGTTAAGCTTCTCATTYACGGCAAACGTTAAACGTCAGTTGAACATTAAAAAATTCTTTAAAATTAGTGAAAAGGAATCGCAATGATCTCCAAGTAGTAGATAAAAATAAGAATATGTGTCTTTGTCGGGAAGGTTTTCAAAAGGTTAGGTGAATTGTAGGGAAACGATGAAAACGTGGTCACGTTTACCGTTTGCGGGAAGAAAAAACGGAAATCTTAATCTGCCTACTACCTTATAATTCCTTGCTCTATCTATGTGAAAACTACTAAAAATAACAAATTCTTTTCTTTTCAAGCCTCATATTGTAGAAGTTGAACTTTTTGATAGACTTCAGCAGGGTCAGTCTGTCAATAGTTTAATGACAGCCACAAAATTTGTCAAGCCAGTGGTGAATCCAGTCTCCATTTCCAACGTACTGGTAAAGAAAACTCCGAATTCTTCAGAAGTTAAGAAGGAAAAACATATTGAAGATAGAATAAAGATTTCAATAACTTGGGTAAGTTAGCTTCTTATTTATACTTTATCTCACTTTATTCTCGTTTTCTTCAGTCTTTCCATTTCTTTTCAGTTCCCTTCTATTCCATTCCAATTCATTCCTTTCCTCGCCTTCCTTAGCTTTCATTTCATTTCATTTTTTCAGACCTTTCATTTTCCTTTTTCATTTCTTATCTTTTCCTGCTTCCTGTTTTCTCTCTCTTTTCCTTTATACCATTTCAATCCCTGATTGTAGAACGGGTCAATCCAGTCAACGCCTAAGAGTTTTATTTTTCTTTCTTTTTCCTTAGGTTTATAGCCCTCAAGATTTCCATTTTCAACTGGTTTCAACAGAAACTAAGGAAATTTTAAAGAAGATTGGAAGGACTTTAAATCAAATCCCATTGACAGCAATGGTAAGAATGGAAACAACAACCAAGGGCCTACCAGCCTCGCTATCATGTTTTCGGTACATTTCAAATGCTTATAACTCTGTAGGGATTTATAGTCTGTAATATATGACAACAGAACTCGTCCGCAGTCGTTTTTCATATGGTCTATAGTCCTCTGTACCTGGGGCGTAATGTTTAAATAGTTTCCCCATTTTAGACAACATGTCATATCCCATAGCAGCATACACTCAAGGTAAAGGAAAGTTAAGGTTATGGTAGCGGTGAGTATGCTCTCCTCTCACCAAGGCGACCCGAGTTAGATTCCAGGTGTTGTATGTAAGTAGAGTTGCTTGTTAGTTCTCTCCTCGGCTTGGARGGTTTTTGTCTGGGTTCCCTCGTTGCTTGCCCTCCTGGTTGCGCTGCTTTGGTGTTGATGCAACGGGTCCACATGGTATCTTTAGATCATAATTTATATTTCTAGGAAGTTACTTATTTTAATCAGTTTGTAATACGCGTGTTACCATCTCCCTATGTAATACGCGCAATACAAGTATTAAATCAATACTTATTATTCTCCGGTTTTCCTTCCTCTGCGAAATTCGACGTCTAAATTCTAACTGGAATTTATTGAATGAAGAATTGCTCTGTAGAATTGTCACTGTTAATTCCTATTTATTTATTTATATATTATTTATATTCTATTTATTTTACGGATATATTCCCATTCCCTTCCATTTCTTTCAATTTGTTATTTTCTCTTCCCATTCATTTTCTTTTATTTCTTTTATTTCTTTAATTTTCAGATCTTTCCAAAAGTTGGTCTTTTGGCTTGTTATGTGACTATGGATCATAGACGAAATCGTGTTAAGATCCTAGAGATTCTGAAGTCTAATGATGTGTTCCATACTGTTACTATGGTACTTTGGCTAAACTATTTTGTTCCATAGTTAGATGAGTACAAGAATCCATGTAAAAAATAAATAAATAAATAAAGAGAGAAGGAGAGAACAAAGGGAGGGAGGGAGGAAGGGCGGAAGGAAAAAGAAAAATGTACACTACAATCTGACTTACTAATGACTCTTTCACCTCTATTTTGTTTTTTGTCTCGTAACCTAAAATAATTTTTCACGACAATTATTAGACACATGATAATGAATAAATAAATGACGAAAGGTGACAGAGATAGAGAAAGAACAATCTGAGGGTTCAAATCCCGTCTCCCTCTTGTTATTCATTTATTCAAAATAAATTGCCATCGCATTTCAACAAAATCCTTAGTTAAAAGTTCTGTTTCTGTTTCTTTATCAATGCTGTTTTGTTATATTTTTAGGCGAAAGTTTTATATCTTGATTCCGGGATGGTATGCGACGTGCCTGTCACACGTCTCTTAAAATTGCCTCCTGAATTGTTATCCATTCCAATGCAAGCAACACGAGCATGTCTCGCGGACGTCGGGCTACCAGATGGTCATAGTTCGTGGCCTATCTGCGCTCTGCAAGTTCTTCTAACTCGTAAAGCCCAGGTGAGAACATTCTAACCTTGAAATCAAACCCTAAAACGACTCCTTGTCTGAGTCAGGGCTCGACTAACTCAAACAGATCGAACCCTGAATCAATCTCTGGGCTGATATAAGTCATAGCACACCGGACTAATTAACAGATCGAGCCTTGAGACAACCCTCTGGGCTGACCAAAGTCAGGACACGGCTAACTCACAGATCGAGCCTTGGGACAACCCTCTGGGTTGAACAAAGTCAGTCAGAGGTCAAATTTAATTTAACTCGTTGGGTTTTGCGGATGAAGGAAAACCAGGAGAAAACCCCTTGAATTACTGAAGTGCTGTCCGCGGATTTGTTTGTATTTTTCATTCTTACCTAGGTTTAGCTGAATCTTTTTTCTAAATCATTAAACTCAAGTTTATTCTATCCAAAAGATTACTGATGCTAAGATTGTAAGTCAACTGCAAGATGGAAGGGTTGTCATTGAACTTTATGACGAAAAGGGAGAAAACATGAGTGAAAAGATTATGAATCTTATGAAGCCATATGGAGAAACACAAACCACTTCTTTGTCGGAAAACAAGAGGACAGCATCGAAAGAAAATTTAAAAACCGGTCGAGGAAATTCTAGTAAAAAGACGAGCGGGCAGGACCAGGCCTCCTCACCAAAAGAAACAACAGCTGTCGCTCATCCACAAAAGACACCAATAGCAGCAAACTTTGCTGGGAACCAATCGAATTCTTCTGTACAAGCAACTGGAAATCAAGTCCTACACAACAGCCAATCAGAAAAGGCGTACCATCCCAGTTCATCAGAAAACCCTCATAAGCCAGTTACAAGTGATAAATCACGTGTTGTAACCCAAGGTCAAAATCATTCTCATTCGAATTCAGCGACGAATACGACAAATACTTATAACTATTATATGCCCCCACCGCCGCGCAATCAAAAAGTGCTTCCCTCTGTGCATACTCCACATACGGGACACGTCTACCAAGGATTGCCTTTGGGTAGGTCAGCGGTCGATGATAGAAGCGCGCGAGACTTTTCATCCAATGAGCGCCTTCCTAGTCATCCAAGACAAAATGAACTTACATCGTCAATTCAGAATAATACGAGCACGGCGAGTTACAGAAACGAAGAAAGTGGAGCGTTAACGAGAGATCAAGACTCTGTTGTTTCCAAACATCAAGATGTTAGTCCTGTTCATCGAGAAAACGATCCTACTAATCTTACTGAAAAGGAAAGGAATGAAAAAATAACAAATGAAAAAGAGTTTCCCGTTGCAACAAAACAGGGTAATAAAGAAAAGACTGGACAGGAATGGATAAAAGAAAAAGAATTGCTTCTGGCAAGAAAGCAAAGGCRGGAGGATTACCTTGAAATACTTAGTAAACGCCCAACAGTCAAACCTGTTCAAAACAACTTGCAAGAACTAAAACTAAGACTCGAGAAACAAGTGAGGTACGTGGAACTACTCTATAACTAGTGGGTGGGTCCTATACACCAAATTGAGATATGGCGACCAATTTGAATAGATATTGTTTCTGCACTGACTAGTGACAGATTTCAGATCACATGTTATTCTCTTGAGAATATAATTATTTGTTTCAGTTGTATCCATATCCATGTGTCTTCTAATGCACAACCATTAAACAAAGAAATGATGCTCTAGGAAATGACATGTGGTCTGAAATGGGAAAACAGTGGATCATATTTAGGAGTTTTACTTACATTTTCCTTTGTGGTAACAGAATCAAGGAACTCGAAAACAGAGCTCTAAAGCTGAGGAAGGAGATAGAAACCCTGGAAGCTGCCAAAGCTGAACTGCAATACCAGCTGATGAACAGTTGATGCCGTCACCACTCTTGGAGAGTTTTCTTTGGTTTAGATGGAAGTATCAGTGAAGGCAAAAAATATAATTCTTCCCTAGTTAATATCCCAGGGAAAACTTTGCTTCTTGCTGTCATTATCAATATGTCACACAGAATTATGATTCATAATACTGGGTGACAAGATTTTAGCTGTCRTGCAGCAATATGCATGATGGAGTTGTTAGCAGTAACCCTCTCCTCAATATTGCACCGTTTGGAGAGGAGGGGAGGAGTGGTGCAATATTTTTTTTGGGGGGGGGGGGGATACTACTGTTGTTGCTGCTAATTACATTGCTAACTTCAAGAATCCTTGAAGTTACAAAGTTAGGAATGATATGTAATAAAATAGACTATGAAAAGGTACAAGACTTTGCATTGGGTCTTTTCAAAATCAAGCTTATTGAATTTGAGGAAAACCCAAGAACTTAAGGAAAAAATATCCTGAAAGGATAATTGTACTGCTATTGGCCAGATAAAAAGGCCATTACAAGTACTACGCAGCTCGCTATACCTCCCCCTCCTACCCCATCATTGACCAGTTAGCTAAAAATACTTTTCGAGCTGCTTTTACTTTCGAAAAAATTCTAGAAATATATGTTGCAAATCAAAGTATTAGTTGGTTCAAGAGAAAAATGGAGCTAAATATGAGGTTTTTATAAACATAAAGATATAAAAATTAGATGCGTTAAATATATTAAATGTTGAAAATAAATTTTAATAAATCGATGTTGTGACTTGTAGAATTGCTTTAGAGATATCGTTCTTTCAAGATTTGAGAAAAAATGTGGTTACAACTGCGATTTGCCAAAGTATTTTTGATATACTCAATAACAGAAATGTGATTCGTAAAAAATATTAATCTTTAGGACAAAATATATGAAATGTAAAATAATACTAAGATCCAAAAGCACAAATTCTTGGATGTATAATCAAATATCTAATACACGCCCTATTGCGATCTGCGAATCTCTCACAGAGATTTCTGAAAACGTCAATCTTACAAATCTGCGAATCCTACGGAGAACTGCAAACCTGAAAAAGATCTGCGAATCTGACAGGAATCTGCGAAAACGCGAATCTGACAAATCTGCGGACCTCACAGATATGTGAGAACCTGACAAGAAATCTGAAAATCGTATCCAGGAGTTAAAATAGCTTTTCGGGTTTCCTGTGGTTTACTTCGTGGGGGAGGGTCTGTGTACGAGTATTGACGTCACTAGTACTCAGGCCCTCTGATCCCAGCTGTTTTTCTGTTTGTTGCTATAGTAACCATTAGGAACAAAGTCGGCCATCTTCTCTTATCGAGTGAGCATTTATTGATAGTTGGGAGCGAAAAAGGTCGGAAATTTAAATCTTTCTTTGTCCAAACGGCCGTCAAGATGATGGTTCAACACACACGAAGATGTAGGGAGTACACTGGGCCAACTCCAAACTCTGTGGCTATAGTAAGTTGTTTTAAATTTGAGTTTTAAAATTTAGACTCGAATAATGCTTGACTTCTAGTAGAAAACACAGCTGAGTTGTATTTTCCCCTTTTACTTAGTCCATATTACTTCGATTTGAAGCTAGAGCTAGATGCTTAGAAGATTATGCTCATTKGAGAGAATGAATCGTGTCCACGATCTTCCTTGAAAATTATTTTTTTCGACGAATTTCTGTGTTTCTGTTTACGTTGGTAGCTACACGACTCGTAAACCGTGAACGCATGTACATCTGTAATAGTCTTTACAACGCTTCAACTATATTTTCTCTACTTTTCCAGAGAGCTAAACCTACAAATAAGCGTCCTGTAGAATACCTTATTCTTGAAGGACGAAGAAGAGATGAGCTGAGAGATCAAGCTATAGCAGAGACAAAATACCAGAATCAATGTGATCTAAAGGTAGACGAAGAACATTTTSTGTGTGCATACATTATGATCTTAGTCGAAAAAAAATTTACACAGATTATCCCAGTTCTCATTTCACTTTGTTACTACTCACTAGTCTCATATTCTAATAGCTAAATATACAGTTTATAGTTTCATGTGTAAACATTTAACTGTTCCACTTATATTCTGCACCCCCTATTGAGGATCGGATTTCACCAGACCCCTAAAGAAATGGGTCTTACTAATCTTTTTAATACCCTTGAAGAATTTCATCAAAATTGTGAACCAAAAATTGTGATTTCCAAGTATAATTTTGAATACCACTGAAGATTTTGAAGTAAAAATTTAGGCGATTAAATGGAATTTTTTACATTCCAATTTTTAAAAAAAATGAATGTAAAAAATAGTCCATTAACAATATGCTTTGCTATTGTTTCTTCTAGTCTGAATGGGAAAAAGCCACAGACAAGAGAATTCAAAGAAACACTATAGTGCGAAGAGTAGATCGGCTTATGCAGTCAGAAACTTTCAACCTAGAAGACAGGAGAGAAAGGTAAACTATGGATCATTAATGAAATGTGTTTCAAAATATTTTTGCCTTGGTTATTTTAGAATGCAATTACAATAATAATGGCATTTATACACAATGTACTAAAATTTAGTATAATTTAATAAATTTTAATAAAATTTAATATAAAAACTGCAGCATAGCAGATTTGGTCGTGTCTATAACTATCTGATATCAAATAAATTATTTAATCATTATTTATAAGTCACATAATTCTTAATTTTTTGAAAATTAAAAAAAGTTATATATGTCTTGAATTTGGTTAACAATAAGCACTAATGACCAGCACCAAAAAAACATTTTCATTTCCTTTTCCCGAGGCAGTGCAGGTACCAGTCATAAGTATTTCAAAATTTTCACCTCGCAGCTAGTCATTAAGTGTTTTTGTTAAAATATACTCATTGAATGAATAAATGATTTTTGACACATTACTGATTTGGAAACGAGCTTTGATAATGATGGAATAAAGTAAGAGTTAATTACCGAGAACAGAGGCTATAAGCTATATACATCCCAAGGGCCACAGGCCCAAGGGATGTATAGGCTAATTGCCGACGTTCAAGGTAAAATATTTCATTTATCAATTGAGAAGGTTTTCTATCAAATGTTGCTCATTATAAATGCAAAGTCTATATATAGCTACTAGAGAGTTTTAGATTTACGTTCACTGCAAACGTGAAACGTCAGTTGACCATTTAAAAATTATTCTAAATAGCTTAAAAATAATTGCAAAAAGTCAAAGTAGTAGAAAAACAAAAGAATATTAAATTTTTTCTTTGGTGAGAAGGTTTGTAAAAGGTAAAGTAAAATACAGGAAAACGATGAAAACGTGGTCACGTTTGCTGTTTGCGGGGAGAAAAAAAAGTCAATCTAAAACTCTCTATTAACCGGGTTAATAACTAACTATATATTGACCTCGCATTTATAATGAAGGTTATAACAAAAATAAAGAATAACAAAGAAAACTGTGTCAATTGAGAAATAATATGTAGTTATTAACTGACAAGGCAAACSATAAAGGTTCAAATAAATTTATCAACTGCTTGTACCATTAAAAAATTAGCTTGAACAAATTGACAAAAGGTTTTTTTTCTTAGATTGAGAGAAATGCTGCTTAAGGAAGAAGAAGACCACATCAAAGAAATGGAAGCAAAGGAAGAGACAACCATAGAACGACAAGCAAAGATGAGAGAAAGAGCAAAATTCCTAAAGCAGAAGCATGAACAGGAACGATTGCAATTCGTACAAGAAAAACTTGATCAGAGATGGAGGTAAACCAAATCTTTCTCTTTGTAGCTATAAAATTGTTTTTTAATAAAATCATATTTGAGATCCTAGGCCCATATGCTTTACTCAAGGCAAACCTTTCAGTTATTCATTTTATTCCAAAAAATTGTTTTAGGGAAGAGTGTGAAGAATTAAGGGCAACACTGTCCAAACGTCACCAAGATGACGTGTTCACTGAACGATCTGATCAGATCAGAATGAAAGAAGAACAGAAGAAACGGGAAAAAGAAATAGAGTCAATGTATGCTGATTTGTGGGAAAAGGATGTGCAAGCAAAGAAGCTGAGAGAGGAACAAGCTGCACATGAACAAATGGAGAGGAACAGAGAAACATTACGAGTAAGTGTCATGAGCATCTTGCATGGGAAAATAAGCAAGCATAATCACTCTCTGGCTGTCATGATTCACCTATAATATTTATTACTAACATTACTTCAGTAATATCTTTAATTAAATCATACTGTATAGAATTCAATTATTGTTACATTGGTTGGGGCCCCGGGGAGGGGGGGGGGTGGGGAGGGGGGGGGATAAATTTAGCCATGGCCAAACTCTTAAGCCTGATTCTCATTAGCGACGCAAGCTAACGCAAGAAACAATGGAACACTATCTTATCACTCTCTTGTGTTTGGTTTTGCACTTGCGTTGCTTGTTTTCATAGTGAGAACATGCACTAGTTTGGAGATGGCTGATAGTGAGACCGCTTTTGAGAACCAGACTTAAAGAAGGGGGTGAGGGGTGGTGTAATTTATTCCATGGAGTCCATTTAAAGACACTATAAGTCATTATGCCAGCCCCCATATTCTAATAAATAAATGCCATCTGATAATTCTTTAAATGAATCTAGATTCTACAGCTTCAATCAGAAGCCATTGAAAAACAAAAAGAAGAAGAAAAGCAGCTCAAAGAAATGGAAGCCGCCTGGTTGGCGGAACAACAGAAAATGAGAGAACAAGAAGAGGAGTTTCTGAGGCAGGAAAAAGTGCGCAAACAACAGGCTGCAAAGAGAGCAAGAGATATCTCTATCAGGCTGAAGAATGAAAAAGAGGTACCAGATTATACCTGTTTTTTTTTTTTTTTTTGAAATCCAGAACTTAAAACTTTGGGAGTATTTGATAATATCGAAGTTGATAATGGCAGTGATGGTGATAACAATGGTGATATGTGAAATGGTGGTCATGGAATGATAATGGAGATGGCAATCATTGTGATGATAGAGATATGATGATCTGATGATGACGATTGATGATGCTGATGGTGGCAATGATGATGGTAATAAGTAMTGTTTAATAAACGAGCAGGAGTGTCTTATCGGGTATAAAACACGAGGCGTAGCCGAATTCTTTACGAAATGAACCAAGTTTGATAGAGAAAATCCAAGTTAAAGTTTATGCAAATGAAGACGAATCTATATCAGATATAAAACCTCCTTCATGGTCATGATTTCTATTGGGTTTCCTTCATGAATTATTAATGAGTTTTTGAAGTATATTTAAAGGTGTTATTTTGCTTTAGAAAAAATTCCAAAAAATATTAGCTTCAAAGAAACAAAATTACATCTTTGATGATGAGGATAATTTAAGGTGACGATAAAACTACTGTAGTGGTGATGATGAGGGTCACATTGATGGCGATGATGGTAATAATGATGATAAGTTAACATATTGTACATCGCTATGTCTGAGGGTTTCTGATAATTGATTGACAGGCAAGAGAAAAGCAAGAAGAGTTAGCTCTAGACATGAAGATCCTAGAGAAACTCTTAGACGATACAAGAAACGAAGCCATGGAAGACAAACAACGCAAGAAAGAACTCCGCGAAGAAAACCTTCGCTTTATGCAATACTGTGCTTTGAACCGCAAAGAAGAAGAGGAGAGGGAGAAAGCCCTAGAGAACCATGTTAATGCAGAAGTAGAGAAACAATGGGCTAAGAAGATGGAGCAGTACAGGAAAGAGAGAGCAGCCCGAAAAAGACTCATGGAAAATGTGATGAAAACAAGACAGGAACAAATGGAAGAACGAAGTACGTTTTTGGTTTTTAGTATTTATATGCTTATGAGTTTTCTACTTCCACAACCCCTATGCACCTGAGATTTAAGTTATTTCAGTAAGCAAATTGCTGACGCTTGATGGTGGAAAATTAGAGGACGGCGCCTCAAGAGGTTGGCCAATGCACGCCCTCTTTCTTGCACGTGCGATGTTTATAACCTCCTAAAGAGGACTTAGATAATGACGGAGCGCGTTTGAATTAGATTGTGCTCAGTCCATCATATTGAAAGCGCGTCATTCAGCAATTCTTTAATGCATATAACATCACTTCAGGTCCATTTATTTATTAACCACTTATGCTCACTTCTATTGTCGTTACTTTAGAACGTATCGCAAATGCCCTAAAGGATGCAGAGTTTGCTGAAAAGGAAGCCATGTTCCAAGCATGGCAAGAGCACGAACGAATAGAAAAGGCAAACAAGGAACGGGCATTACAGAAAAACCGCGACTACCAGGCGCATCTAAGCATGCAAATAGACTATCAAGCACAGATGAAACAGAAAGAAAAGGACGAGGAGAGGGAAGAATTCCTCTTAGGACAGGTACGGGGGACTTCTTTCTTGATCTTTCTTTTTTAACGCGCGCATGACAATATGCCACAACCGCTGTAAGTCTTGTCTGCTGTACGACATGTTGTGGGGTTGACTGGAACCATAGCCACATCAATGAAAGCACAGAAGAAATGAATGAAACATCTCTTTTATCAACTGAGCCCCAATATAATCGTATCCATCCCAGACTTCAGCGCACGAATTCTATCTCATATAGAATGATGATAATAATGACAATAATAACAACCGGATGGTATATTAATTGTGGCGCTGTTGATAATTAGTGTATATTATGATGGCAGCTGAATAGATGTGATAGTGGTGGTGGTGGTGGTGATTATGATTGTTGCTCGTGTTGATGCCGGATGATGATGTTGGCGTGATGATGGTGATGACCAGATTGATTATGCTTGGCGCTGTTGATAATTAGTGTTTATTATGATGGCAGCTGAATAGATGCGGTAGTGGTGATGATGATGATTATGATTGTTGCTTGTGTTGATGCCAGATGATGATGTTGGCGTGATGATGCTGATGACCAGATTGATTATGCTTGATTATTTTAATGTGATGGTGATGATGGTAGCACCAGTCAGTGGTGATAATTATGACGATGGCAATCTGATTACTATCACTAATCTCAACACTACCTTTTCCTTTCCTAGGAGGCCGAAAAAGAATACCAAAGACGACTTAAAGAAGCGTTACAGCGTCCCGCAAACAAAATCCATCCAATACGACTAATGGCATCTCACAGAAGCAAATCCAACTAAACACCCCTAATTGACAACAATAAAATAACATATTTAATATATGCTATTCAATGTCATCCCCCTATGGGAGTTATTTTGTAAATAGAGTGCTTTATATATAATAAAGAACATGTAAAATCTAAAGATACGATTTAAAAAAAACAATTTTGTAACAGGAAAAAAATAATCACTAAATCTTTTTTGTACATCTCGAACATTAAATTGCTAGAATATTTTTGTTTTGAAAGATTCGCTCCTGGCTAAATTCGTGAATTCCCTGCTTCAGTTTCGCGGTACGATATCCTATTTTTCGCAGGAATCTACGTATATTTTCTTACATCTTTCTTATTCAGGCAACAGCTCGTTAGGCACGGGCCCCATGGCGATCTTAGCTGTTCGTGTCGGCTATTTTAAACAAGATCATGTGTTCCCAAAAACGCCCTTATCAATACCAACCCTCCTATCCCCGTAGCAGATATCTTTCCGTTTCTCACCCCACCCTTAGAAAATCTAAGCTCTATTTGGAGGCATAAAAAAACTCATCAAATAGAACAATATACTTCCTTTGATTATTTCTTTATTTTACTCGATCAATGAGAAGAGCTTATTGAATATTTCTGTAGTCGATTATTGCACTTGATTCACATTTGAGAACATTTACATTATGTTTCACTGCAGTAACAATACGGTTTCTCACTTGGGAAAATAACAGTTATATCAACAAAATTAGATTAATTTTTGAACAAAGTGTACTCTTTTATCCCTATATTATTTGTATGGCTTTGATTTTTTTATTCTATTAATTCTCTTCAGCGTAAATACCTCAAGGGTCAAAATTTTTCACCTAGGACTACAGAATTCAGCACCAGAATCCCACGGGACATTGCCAGCTAAAGTTATCTTGGCTCACATCAGGTCGTTTTGGTGGTCGCGCCCCGTTCTTTGGGATTCTCTGATCACTAACTTGTTGGCTACTAATGACTCGTTTTCTGCACCAGAACCCTTCTGGACACATGTGCTGTGGTGTGTCTTGGTCAATTACATACTCACTTCTCCTGCACCAGAAACCTTCGGGGCACTGTGATCTCCCAAGGATGATAGATCGTACATCTCTGCGGGAATTGCAAGTGAAGTCAGATGGACAATTCTTGGTGTCAGTAGAGCGCTTTTTTCTGCACCAAAATCCAACGGGACATTGTTGTTCTTCGCGTTTACACCAGAAGCCTACAGGGCATTTTTCACGTTTGGTTTCCTTTTCGATCACGTTGCGTCGCTTACGGCACCAAAATCCAACGGGACATTCTTGTGGGGCGTCATCCGCATCGTCCGAAGCGGATCGCTTGCACCAGAATCCGACAGGACAGTCTTGATTATCAGCAGATCGCTTTCTTCGGCACCAGAATCCTACTGGACATTCTTGATCATCTTGGAGTGGATGAGCACTAAGAACGATRGCGCTGCCAGCAGCGACGAGAAGAAATAGAAGAGTTGATGAATTCAACATGTTGCGGTATACTAAAACAAAAACAGATCAAGTTTACTTTTATATTCTCAAACTCATCAATAATTCATGAGGTCAATGACCACTGGCGACTTTGCATTGTAGTGACGTGCACGCACCTTGATACTTGATCAAAAACGTATCAAGACACTGATCAAAACACTGACAAGTAAACGAATAATTGTGAAGGGATTTTTAGTCTCACGAGATTCAAGAACAAATGAATTATAATGAATTAGGGAAGTCAGTTCAAAATATAACGGCATCGTGCTTTCATCTGTTACTCGGTGTTTGGATGCCCTGATCAAACACTCGCACTCGTTTTTGATCTATTACTTCAAGGTTGGTGTAGCAGTAATACAAAACTTTCATAACTCAGTGTTTTCTGATAGAGAAAATGAGGTCTTTCTATACGGATGGAATGGACAAACGAACGAATGAATGAATAAAGGAATAAACTAATAAATAAATGAATGAATGAATGAACAAACGAGTTAGTAGAACAATTAAAGGATCCCAATTAGTTGTAACCTTCGAACAGCAAGACTAGTAAGTCCTGAACGACTCATTCCAAATAATGCGCTACTGACAAACGTAGGTTAGACAGTGTCAAATCTCCTAGGCTAAGATATGATTAAACCCCGAGAAAGGTAACCCCACAAGGTCGGATCCAGGGGGGGGAAGGGGGGGGGGGCTGAACCCCCACTTCAGCAGAAAAAAACGATGCTTTTTTATATTGTTTTCCGTTGTGTTGACGGAAGAAACTCAATTAGCCCCCCCTCCCTAAACTTAATTAGCCCCCCCCTAAAAGTTTGGCTGGATCCGCCCTTGTCCCAATCAATATAGCCAATCAAATTATTATCGTTATACCCTCGTTCGGTTTACGTATGTACTGCTTGTCCTGGCTCTTCAACTTCGACTACCTTACTCAAAATCCCTATCAGAAAATGATTTCTAAATATTATCTAAGCTCATTTTTTACCACAGAGCGCCCACTATACTCATCAGCTCTCAGAAATAATTTCTTTAGGATTTGTACATTGAATTATTGATATTTCAGCCGGCACGTCAATGCAAAGCATTACGTGTTTAGCTTCGGCGGAAGCCCCTCCGCCATCTTGTCAAAAGATATCCGTTGTAATTCATCGCATCGGAAATATGTTCTCAGGATAATTAAATCCTCTTGGTAAATGTCAATGGCTCTCCAAACATGCAGAAATGATTCTAATATTGATCCTAATGCGGTACTTTTCAACTCTTGTCAAAGAACTAAACGGAAGAATTACGAGACGGGAAAGTGAGAAAATGGATCGGAAAAAAGAAATGAGTTTTTGTTAAAGTTTGTTTGTTTGTTTGTTTTCCTGAAAGTTTAGTGTAAGACTAAACTCTGAACAAAACATTGTGGTAAAAATGCTATTCAAATAAAAGTACAGCGCATAGGATTTAATGTTCTCGCTTTTTCTCTTCAAACTTTACAATACGACTTCTTGATTGGAAATGCCGGCAGAAAAGTAAACTCAAACTTTATTATTTCATGATCTAAAACTGGCTTAAATACGCCCGTTGGGCAAATACACGAAGCTGAATTATGTAATTGATTGTGTCTGCTTTGGTAAAATCAGAAAATGGTTTGAAGACTTTCTCTTTGAGGTGTACAAAGAATCGTTAAGCTATTACTTAGAAAGTCTTATATTCTGGGGTAAATTAGCATTGAGATTGAGAATAGAAAATAATAAAGCGGAGATTTCTTACAGAATTAATTCAGTTTTAGTGTTAACTTGAATCGTTCGGCGGTACCGCGATGAACAAATAAAGAAGAACTGCGAATACCGGATCAAATTAAGATCATAAAGAAAAGGTAGTTGACTTCGTGCGGAAGTTTTAAAGAAAACTTAAAACTTAGAATAATAAAAAGCTCATATAGAGTATCCGTAAAGAGAGTTTTAGATATAAGAAGAAAGTAGCGAAGTCAAGAGAAAAAAATAGGCAAAAAATATTCCCTAAAAGTTGAGTCTGACATTGTCTCCAATTATTACAACGTCGAATGTCTTACGAGAGCGATGAAATTCAAAAAGCTCTTTCGCTAAACAAACACAAATTTTACTTCAACTGCACGTATACCAGACAATAATGTGGAACATCTGAATATATATTTCTAGTTTTAACTGTCTTAGAAGTCCTTTTTTCATATGAAAGGAATTAAAAGGGAACGTATTTTTTTCTTTGGGACGATCATGAAAAAAAGATTAGACCAATAACGAAAAAAGAAAAACGCAAAGTATCAATTATTTCATTCAGAACCCATTTAACTGTCAAATTCTTATGATGAAAGTTTGCCTTTAAAATCTAAAATCAATCAACTTAAATCATCCATAAAAACTTTTTCTCTCCAAATTAACACTTTTAACTTCACTGTCTTAGTATTAGATAAAATATATTTGTACACAAACGCGAAAAAAAAAAAAAAAAAAAAAGGGAAATTACCTCTGTTCACGTAGCAATGTCGACTCGGCTTTCCTGGCTAATTTTTGACCAAGTGTTTAGTAGACGAGTCTTATATTTATCAATTCGGGAGAGGCACTCGCGTATTTAAAAATCTAGAGGTTTCGGCTGGTCGGTCGATGAAAGGACGGCTATATATCTCTTGCATTACCCAATAGATGAAATTTCAATTTTGTTCAGGGGTAATGAGTCGGATGTGAAGCGCTTCGTGTTTGCTAATATTGTGAAAGGCAAAGCTCGTTAACACGATGTTCGTCTATTTGTATTGATATTTCCTCTTGAACAAAAAGCGATGCTTTTGATGGGCAAACCAATGGGTTTTCTTTTCTTTGCGCTCATATTCCCATATAGTTGATATAAGAACATAAATGATTTGTAATGAAGGCTTTGCAGGAGTCCGAATGCCGAACTTAAGCATTTTTAAGCTAACTTATAAACAAGTTTTACTACAATACTTAATTTGTTTATATTTTTGGCCATTTCCAAACTAACTACGTTCCTATACGACTGTTTTAACACCAAACACAAGCCCTTTCTTTATACAGAGCTCTTTTGTGCAGTAAAAACAAAGTTCTTTCATAAGTATTGCAACTTTAAGATTTTTTCTAATAAAATTTCCGTTCGACTTCGAAAGYCATTTTGTTTTTTGTTTTTTTACGCGGGCTCTTAGCAATAGCATTTAAAATGAAAAAACACGTTTTATGTTGTAAGACAAATGTCACCCAAGTTGTCCTTTGTTAAAAGAATAAAAAYATAAAACATGCGAGGTTTATTTGAAAACTGTTTCTTTGTGTAGATCGTAAAAGAGTTAGAAAAAGAATTCTGTTCTTCGAGGGAAGACACGCCCGCACTAGTGGTTCTTTTAATTATCAATCGGGAATAATTCTGTGGGAGACCAGAATTTTCGCTTGAAAACATAAATCAATAGCATGCAATCATGCAAAAATCAGCAAAACATAACTGCGAGTGAAAAGATACAGTTTATCGCTGAAACTATTGCTAGTACGTTTTAGCCATAAATGTAAGAAAAAAAACTTCATAGCGAAATATTTCTAAAGTTTTGAAATCTTTTAAAAGCATTTGAGTCTTAAGAATCAAGCTAAAATTAAGTGCAAATTATAGTGAAGTGTAGAGATTTTATTTGCCGAAAATTCAAAAATTCAATTGTTGAATGGAACAATCAAGTATCACTGAATCGAAGCTGAAATGTTTTTTAAGGTTTTCGTTCAAAATCTAGCATTTTTCATGACGAATTCAACATGGAGAAAATGAAGATACTTTACTGAGAAYTTATTTAGCAAATTTGGTGAAAATTTATGAAGTAATCAGTGTGTAATAAATAAGTTTTTAGTATGATTTTTTTGTTATCTATACTAATGACTGGCTTCAAGTTATATGGCTATCGTAAAGGGGATAGTTTACAACTAATCGATGTGATAAGTGTTTGAAGTAATGTAGAAGAAACAGAAGAATACAAATTGTTTCGTGGACAATTTTTTTCCTTCCTTCCTTCATTCCCTTCATTCTTTCTTTCTTTTTTTTCCTTTCTTTCCCCCCAAAGAAACCGTGAATGATTAATCCAAAGTTACCAGAATCAAACAAAGTTATGAAAAACTCAAGAGAGAGAAAAAAAAAGCCAAAAGCATTTACAAAAATGACACGAAATTTGAACTTAAATTCCTTTTAAACAACGATAAAAAATTAACAAAAAATAAACATAAAAATACTAAAATATGACTTACCCAAGCTGAACGTACAGACTATAGCTATATCTCTTTCGAGGCAGTAGTGTTCTGCCGGCTTTGGTCTATGATTGCACTCGTGACAAGCGCCGATCAAGCTTTATAGCCCTATAGTGGGTGTAGAAAAGGATCATTTATTTGCTGATGGGACAATTCTGGAGATTAATATCCGAAACAACTAATGATCCTATGTTTTAATAATCAATGAATGTCACTCGTAGGCGAATCCGAATCCACTCATGGCTCTCATTTTGTTGTCAATATATGAAGTATTCAGCTTCTCTTTCTCGGTAATTGATAGAAAACACCTTCCGGTTACAAAAAATAACATTGCTTTCAACAGTTGCTGGTACACGAGTGTTATACAACCATTGGCTTTTAGTTTTGCTCTTGAAATTTCAAAAACCACTCCAAAAATGATTCCAGAGGTTTGGAGTTAAGTTATTCGTTACTTGATATTTTTTTGTCTTCAGCTTTAAATAATAATGCTAAAAAACTAATTTAGTGGGAAATGAATAAAATTCATTGTCTTTATTGCCAAATAATAACAATAATAATTATTTGTTTTRGGACTAATTGTGGAATTCCAAACGCTTTTAGTCTCAATAATTGTTAACTTGGTAGAAAGAAATTACAATGATCCGCGCGTTCAGTAGAAATTAGAAATTAATGAAATGATACTTGGAAGTGTTATTGCTATAGGTTTGGCGAGGAAGGTGATTGTAGAGGTATTGACTAGTAAATTAAGATGGGCATTCGAATCTAAGTTGTTCACTGTCTTTTTATGAATACGTATCTATACTATAGTCATTATGATATATGTGGCTGGATAATTCTTTTTATGAATACGTATATCTATACCATAGTCATTACGATATAGATGGGTGATTTTACCGTCGTTTGGAAGTTATTAAGTTGCACAATGGAAGTAATCGATTGTTTTTAACTTATGCTCTCTTGTTTTACTATACAAAAGGGATGCGAATAATGACAGATAAAGGTGTTAGAAGGATGGGTAAGCTGGAAGAAAGAAAGAAAGAAAAAGAAGCGGAAAGAAAAAGAAGGAAGGAAGGAAGGAAGGAAGAAAGCAAGAAAGGAAGGAAGGAAGTAGGAAATGAGTGAGAGAACGAGAGATGAGAATGAGATGGAGTGGGGTAAAGAGCTAGAGAAAACACGATTGACTGATTTGAAAGAAGAAAGAAGGCAAGGAGAAAGGACAGACATACATACATACGGACAGATAGAGAATTTGATGGAAGAGAAACGAAATAAAAAGATGAAATACGAATGGCAATGTACAGAATTTAATCTCAGTCCTTAAACTTATTAATTTARCTTATCCTTTCGTCTAAACCTCGATCAATGGCGACAAGTCCACTCCAAAATTTCCGTTGCTTGTTCACAACACTTTTCCCAACTTTCTCTCCCATTGAATACCATCCCATAGCATCAAGACTAAATCTGCTCCACGTTACCTTTACATTGCATATTCTATCTATTTCAACACCAGCCAAAGACTATAGATTTTAGCGCTCTATTAGGCAATTAAACCAATCAAAGTTCGTCATGTGTAACTTTCTCGACATTCAAGATTACGTGCATCACCTCAATATGGCTGTACTAGGTCAATATTGATTTTACTCGCCCCTCAATGTCGGTCCAAACGAAAGACACTGCAAAAATCACTTGTGATACTTCTTTTTTAGCGCGAGAATTCCTTTTGTATAAGAATTCCTTAAATACTAAACCTAACTCACACCAGAGATTTGTGACAATTTCTTTGAAAAAAAATTTTAGAGAAAAATTGTTTTCTATTGAGCTACATTTTTTGTGTGTGAATACAATGAAGGTACACGTTTGCTTGACGGCTTGAAGATTTCGTATTTAGATTTTTTAGACTGAAAATCTCTGCATCTTGAAGATATATTAAATAATTGCCTTTTTTTTGCTAAGTTCGAGTGCTTTTTTTAAATTTTTCAAAGATAATGGAACTATACGTTTTCTTTACGGCTTTGAAGATTTCTTATTTAGTTATTTTTAGGCTGAAAATGTCTGACTCTTGAAAAAAACTTACAACACTTAATTAYCATAGTTTTGGAAGTTGTAGTGCTTTTTTCCTAAAACAAAACCCGGGAAAAACCTGCGTAGCAATTGGTGCCTTTCTATAATAAATCAAAATTGCTTTGTTCAAGATATTGATCAAGATCTTTTGGAATCACAAGAGCCTGTGATTTGAACTTCCAATTCAACGCCATGGCCCTTGAAATTACGTACGCTAAGGGGGTGCTTGAACTAATGAGGTCGTTATACCTTGAATCATTTATTCCCCACTTATATTTATGTATCATTTCTACACGATATTGAACGTGTAATTCTCAGTTATTTTCAAGTTTTTTATTAAGTATTTTACAATTTTTTTTATCAAATAAGCTTCAAAATACTAACACTGTTTTTCAATCGAAGCTGCTTGTTAGAATATTATAACGTTTTTCCGGCCATTTCTGAGAGATATATTAAAGTTTAAAATGTTTTAAAAACTCGAGTCATTCATTCAAAAAAACCTTAAATATAATATCCTCGTGTTTACAAGAATTTTTGCATAGAAAACTTACTAGAAAGTTCGCTTAAGGTATTCTTTCATTTCGCAGAGTTCATTTTGTATCAAATTGTTCCATCGTGAATAGAATGAGTTTTTCTTGATAAAGATGGACATTCCTCGTAAAAGTTTGATTAATTTAAAATTAGTTTTACAAATAATACAAGAAGGATATTTAAAGCGGATATAAAGTTCTTTTTCGAGAAACGGTAATTAAAGGAACAGCTTTTCAACGCTAAGAAAATTGGAAAAGGTTACAGTAATTTGCACAATTACAATTACGAAAATTTTAGTATCGGCTAGTTTTATTTAAATGAAGAAGGGAATTCAATTCTTAGTAGCTGTTACTTCAGTGTTTGAATATTTAATAGAAAACATAACCAAATAGCTGAAAATAAATAAAAATCAAGGGTTTTCAGCGAAACTACAAATTCAAGCATTCAATCAAGAAAAGACGAAAAAATGGAAAACACGGCGGGAAAAATAGACGATTTTTCGCGCCTAAAAACCCACTTTGTTTTGTGCTACAAGCCTCAATAACTGTAAAGTTCGTTCAAAAACTTATGTAATCTACATTTTCTTATTACTTTCACAGCAAAAACAGAAAGTAAATAATGACGAGATGCCGAAATCAAAAAATATTGGTGGTTTTTTTTTTTTTTTTTTTGGACTTATTTTTTTAATTCATTTTGCCTTTTACAATCAATTTTTTTTAGTTTTGTAAGTCATAACTAACCAAGTTCAAACACCTAAACCCTGTCAAAGGTAGTTTGAACAGATTGTATATTAGCG